ATATCCAGGTGGAAAAGCACATCCCTGGGGAAATCCTAGTACAAGCCCTGCTGGAGAATGAATGTTGAACCAGTGCTGTAAGCACAGCAGTGGAGAGAGCTGACACAGGTGAACACAACCTTGTCCTTGAAAAAACCCACCTCCCACCCATGCCTCAGTTTCCCCTTGCAGTGCTGTGGTGCTTCACAGCTCTCTGAAGGCAACTGAGATGGGTGGAGAGCCCTGGGTGGGCTCTTCTAGAGGCAGAGGAGGTTTTGGTAGAGTCTGGACCAGCGCAGGAGAGAACATTGGCAGTTTTGATTAAGTTAAAAACTGCAGAATCAAACTCATTATTAATATAGCTTTATGCCACTGCATGTTGTAAGGTTCTTTCTAAACCTGTCACTGCAATTTATCATGCTAGCAGTGTAATAAAATACAGCTATAAAATTTTGGATTAAATGTTCAAGGTCAATGGTGGACTTTCAGCTTCCCTATCTCTTCCTTGCTGCTTTAGCAGATGCTCTATTAAGCACTTAAAAGCTCTGGGAGAAAGATTTTTTGGAGGAAAAGATTCAGTTGTGGAGCATTTCCAGAATTAAATCTTCAGGTAATTTGATCTTCACCAAATTACAAGCCAATAAATAACAAGACTAATAAACACTGGTTGGTTTCAGGTGGAGATTTTTTTTACCAGAAACACTCTCATTTTTATTGTGTTTGCAAAATGTGGCTCTCTGATGCTGTCTTTGTAAAATATACAGATTTTCCTTAATTTTAATGGGAATTTGGATGTGAGAGAGCAGCACCCTGGAGATTTGGGGGGAGTTTTACAGTAGGTTATAGCAAAACTGAGACAAGACTCCACTGCAGTACATTCTAAATAAAAACAATGATGGTGCTGATGCCATGAGTCTGAGCTTTTTATGTATTAAAGGCAACAGAAGCAGCACATATTTACACCTACAAGCTGCATACAAACATGCACAGCAATCACAAAAGAGTGAAATTGTTCAAAATTGCTAAAAAGAAGCTCCAGTATCCCCTGGTGTTGCCCCAGCTATTCAGGACAAGCAGCTGAAATGACTCTGCAGGAGGATCTGCTCTCTGAGCTCCTCTTGGATAATTCCTGTTATTCCATTATAAAAATGGAGGAAGCATTTGGCCACACAGTCACCATTTAAAAAAAATTTAAAAAAGAAAATCCTGTCCTAGTATTAAATTATTCTCTCTGTTCTGGCACAGGTACCAGGAGGCTGGCTTGTTGTTCAAGCTCTAACAGTTAGCCATAATAAAAGATATTCCTTCTTCCCATGATCCTTACCTCTCTTGCAGCCTCACAGGAGACCATAAGAGCTACAAGAACATTACTGCTATTAAATTAGTGGCATCACTACTTCTTATTTTCAGAATGTTTGGCTGTTTCCCCTGATGCTGAATAGGGCAACTAATTTACTAGCGAATTAATACTGCTTATCTTTTCTTTCCTGAGAGCTCTGCTGCCTCCTGCTTTCCCTGGCTAATGGCTTTCCCCAGGGACACCTCTGTGGCCTGGCTTGAAATGTGTCACCCTTAAAAGTGGGACAAGGGCAGCTCAGTTTGTTGAACCTGGCACCACCACGCAGCCCAAATCAGGAGGTGCCAGGGCCAAAGGCTTTTGGCTTTGCAATGAAACTGTTTCCTAAATAAAACTCACCCCTGTACGTGAGGCAAAACTTTGGGAATCTGGGTCTTGTGTTGGCAAAGTGCCCAAGAAAGCAGTTTGCAAAAAGCAGCCCTGCCCAGGGCACTGGCAGCACGGTGGGTACCCTGTGGTGCTGCACATTTTGGGACGTTTGCTGTGTCCTCCTCGCCCCCAGAGCCTCTTACCTGGGGGCTGAGGGGCAGCTGAGAGCACCTTTAGGGAAGGATGATGCCATGGCCCTTGGTCCCTTATAGAGACAGAAAATCATTAAAAGACCTCTAAGACCATTGTTCAGATCCTTTTCCCTTTTTTTTTCCATGCATCAAAGACTCTGCTCTGCAATGCCTTTCTCACTTGGGGTAAGGAATGAGCTCTTCACCCATGACAAGAAAGAAAAGAAAAGCAGAAACATTGTAAAAGAAATCCTTCTTATCAGATTGATTGGGCCTCAGCCTGTGGAATTTGGTCAGAGAAAAGCAATGTTCCCTCATGCTCCTCACTCTCAAACCTCCCAGCCTGCCCTTTGCAATTGGAAATGTGGAATTGCTGAACAGGAGCTCTGGCAAGAGCTACAAGTACCCCATCATAAAGTCCAGGCTATCCACTTTACTGCACAGTAATCTGTTTTACTACTTGTATTATAGTGACAGAATTGTTTTCTGCAACCTAGTTCAGATTAAGAAACTGGGGGATAAGACACATTAACTTCTGTAATATATATTGCCAGAGCCCTGGCCGGTATAAAACAGCTTCCTGGGGGAATTCAGCAGAAAGCGAAGGGCAGAAACAGTCCTGGCTGCTGATTTTCAGTTTCAGTCTGAAAAACTGGAACTCCTTTGGTGCTACAAGCAAAGCTCCAGGTAGTCACTGTAAATCTGCATCCATGCTGTCAAAATCAACACAGCTTCTCCAGTGGAGATTTGGTTTAGTTCACGTATTTTCAGAAAATAAGCTTAATTTGCATTATTTATGAAATGCAAACGCAAGCTCTGTTACAGTGTAAGCAGCACAGTCCAAAAACAAGTCCTTAGACCCAGGAGAACACCAAGGAAACCAGGCATTGTGTCAACAAAAGCTGTGGCCAGTGAAAACATTGAAAACATTGGTCTCTGCATGCCCTACCAGGGCACCGGGCAGCCAGGCTGCCCCTGGGGCTGGAGGGAGCTGGGATGGGGCAGTCCTCATGGGATTGTCATCCATGGCCACACCTGACACAGCAAACTGGCCCCTCCAGCCCTCAGGGTCCTGTCCCCCCTCCAGGGACATGTACCAATGTTTTCAATGTTTTCACTGGCCACAGCTTTTGTTGTCCTGCAGGGACATGTACTTGATGCTTTGTGTGCTCAGTGCTCCCAGTGTCCCCACAGGGCTGCAGACAGCATCACCTCCACACAGCCTGTGGCTCTTCTGCCTCATTTGGGGGAGGAAGGGAAGGGATGGACATGCTGTGGCAATAATCATCTGGTTTGGTAGCTCTATTAGCTGCTCAGGAGTATGTTGAAATCTTGGCGGTTTTAGAATTTCTTATTTTGGAAAGATTAGCAAAAACCCAGTGTTAAAGCAGTGTTAAACTGCTTTCTGGTTTTTCAGCAGAGTCAATGAAGCCTTGCATGCTCACAGGCACTGCCACAGAGCAAAACCTGGGCAGCTCAGAGGAGCTGGCCTTTAATGAGGATTTCCAAATCACTGGAGTCGTGCATAAGCTACACCCACTCTGGTGTTAAATGCCCACTCAGTCAAAGCAGAGTGTTAAACACACTCTTGGGCACCCGTGTTCCATTGCTCCATGCTCCAGCAGCTCCCACCATGCCACTGAGCCACCCAGCACCTCAGCCAGGGCACAGGGAGGATCCCAAGCACCAGCCTTACTCCAGAGCAGATGAGGGGAGGCTGTAACTGGACATAACTCTGAGCAGCTGCAAGCAAGAGATTGTACCAAGGTACAGACACCTCAATTCAGCTGTACCATCCCCCACAGCACCGTGTAACAGCATCAGGGAGAGTGAAGTTAAAGCTCCTGCAAAAAACCACATGCTCACTTAATCAGGATAAAAGTCCACTGCAACGTCCCAGGTACAGAGCACACAGCACTACTTGGAGAGACAGAGAAGAAGGTGGGCTGGAAAATGAGCAGCTGGAAGGAGGCAGAGGGGATCAGAGCAGCATTTCACCTGCTCCAGCACCTCATTGGCATGAACTGAACCCCAAGGGGTTCAAGCTCCCCACTGAAATCCCTGTGAGCAACTTGAGGTGCTGCCAGGTGCAGGGTTAATCTGCAGGGCATGTTCCTCACTTGGTCATGGTCAGGCACAAAGCATCTCTTCCATACCAGGGGAGGGGGCAACATTTTTTATTGGAACACAAAGCAGAGCTGCCAACAACTCACAGAGGTGTCCAGGGAGCCCCCACCCCACAGGTAAATACTTTGGCACTTTTATTGCAGTGTAATAGGACAGCCAATGGGACAACACCACTGGCACAAGCAGGGGATTTCTCTTTCTAAACCACTGCTTGGGTTCTGTGCTCCAAGTGCTCCATTTTTGGGTTCCTGTACAGGAACTCAGCCTTTGCAGAGCTCATCTCTGCAGGACCAAGTCTGGGTTACAACAGAGTGGATTACAATAGGTTCTGACTCAAGCCTTGCTTCCACCTTACAAACTTATACAAAGCAACTTTATTTTCATTAGCAACTGTGTTCTTCAAGAAGCACCACAGTGCATTATGAAGGAAAAAAAAATAAGGAGCCTTTGTAAAAACAAAGATTATTCTCAGAATTTCTTTAATAGACAGGATAAATATTGATGAAGCTTCCTGCAATTGCAGAGTGTGGTTCCTGTCCACCTCCAGCTGAAGATTTAATCAAGGGCAGCCCATGTATTTTATTCAGTCATGAAAGTGATATTGAAATCATAAAAAAGAGCAGAGTTACATGCACTGCTTTACAACTGATAAGAATGACTGGCAATTTCATTGCTGTCATTATCAGCTGCCACAATAAACAAGCAGCTACTTCATTTATTATTCTGCTCCACACTCAGCTCTGGCTGAAACCCAGACCTAGTTATTTCACACCAGCCTACTCTCAGGGCTTTTCCCCCAATGCCCATAGAAAGTTTTCATAGGTAATCTTCTGATTTCTGTGTGGGAGCCCCTCAGGCTCCACATATGACTTGTCTGCCTAAACAAATATTTGGAAACATGATCAGAAAGTAAATCTGTGCATGGTGCCCATACAGATGGACACTTGGTTGCTCTGCTGTGGCCCAGAGTGGAGATTTCTGGCTTACTGCTGCTCTTACAGCACCCCGTGCCCAAGGGCTGGTGCAGGACCACTCACCTGCGCCGTAGGTCGTGGCCAGCATGATGGAGGAGACCCAGGCGATCTCGCTATAGGACGTGCCAAAGAAATCCTGGATTTCTTTGAAGAAGATGGCCAAGCCTTTGGGGAAGGCATAGGCGAAGCCGATGGAAACGAAGGCGCCGAAAACAACCACCCAGCCCCAGCCGCCGTCCGGCGGGCCGGGAGCGCGCCCTGCCTCAGCGGGCATGGCCGGGGCCCGCGCTCCCCCGGGAGCCCTGGAACACAAAGGGGGCAGGTGTGGGGTCAGTCCCGGGACGCTGCTCCTTTGGGCCCTCTGTCCTGGGATGCTTGCTGCTCCTCCAGAGCCCAGTCCTGGGGTGCTGCTCCTCAAACCCCCACAATCCTGAGGTCCTGCTCCCCTGGACCCCCAGTCCTGGGATGCTGCTCCTCCAGACCCCAGTCCTGATATTCTGCTCCTGCAGACCCCCAGTTCTGGGATGCTGCTGTCCTGGAACCCCAATCCCCGGATGCTGCTCCTCCAGACCCCAGTCCTGAGATTCTGCTCCCCTGGACCCCCAGTCCTGGGATGCTGCTCCTCCAGACCCCAATCCTGATATTCTGCTCCCCTGGACCCACCAGTCCTGGGATGCTGCTCCCTTTGACCCCTTGTCCCAGGATGCTGCTCCTCCAGACCCTAGTTCTGAGATTCTGTTCCCCTGGGCCCCCAGTCCCCAGATTCTGCTCCTCCAGAGCCCAGTCCTGAGATTCTGCTCCCCTGGACCCCCAGTCCTGGGATGCTGCTCCCTTGGTCCCAAGATACTGCTCCTCCAGACCCCCAGTCCTGGGATGCTGCTCCCCTGGACCCCCAGTCCCAAGATGCTGCTCCCCAAACCCCCAATCCGGAGATTCTGCTCCCCTGGACCCCAACTCCTGAGACCCTGGACCTGCAGCCCCGGGATGCTGCTCCCTTGGACCCCTTGTCCCAGGATACTGCTCCCCACATCTGTAGTCCTGAGATTCTGCTCCCCTGGACCCCCAGTCCCGGGATTCTTCTCCCACAGAACCCCCGTCCCGCGATGCTGCTCCCTTGGACCTCCAGTCTCAGGATTCTACTTCTCCAGACCTCAGTCTTGGGGTGCTGCACCCTAGACCCCCAGTCCCGCGCTGCTGCTCCCCCTGAGCCCACCCTGCAGTGCCCACACACCTTGGCTCAGGTGAGTCCCGTGTGCCGTGCCGCCCACCCGAGCGCCGGCAGCAGCGCCGGGGGAGCGGGACGGGGCAGGAGTGCCACGTGTACCGGGGGAAACCAGAAACAGCGGCTCCAGCCCGCTGCTCCGCCCCTCCCCGCTGCCTGCCGAGCCCCAGGACACGCGTGGGACACCGGTGGGACACCGGTGGGACCCTGGTGGGACACGGGACCCGCGGGCGGACCCACCTGCGGAACGCGGCGCTGGCTCTGCCCGGGCCGGGCGGGGAACCCCAACCCCCGGCACTCACATCCCTCACCCAGCTCCCTGTCCCCTCCCGTTTCCTCGCCCCCAGCCGAGGCAGCAGCACCAAACACCCCTCTGGTGTTTATTAAACCACCCTCAGTTACTTAAATGCAAATGGTTCTTTTTTACTTCCCCTGTGTTTCCGCCTGCATCCTTCCTCTTTTTCGCACTAAATCCCAGCTATTTTCTCCTCTGTACCAAGTTTTTTGCTGCTCTTCTGCCCCTGGACCACATCATTATTATAAAAATAAAAAAGAGATAGATTTTTTACACGGGTAGATGCTGATAGGACACGAGGGAACAAATTTAAACTGCAAGAGGAGAGATTTAGATTGGATGTTGGGAGAAAATTCTTCACTGTGAATGTGACGGGGCATTGGCACAGGTTGCCCAGAGAAGCTGTGGCTGCCCCATCCCTGGAAATGTTCAAGGATAGGTTGGAGGGAGCTTGGAGCAACCTGGGATAGGGGAAGGTAGCAGGGGGTTAGAATGGGATGGTATCTAAGCTTCCTTCCAACCCAATTCAGAATTCTATGGTGCTGTGATCATTGCAGACTTCTGCCCCCGTTCATGCTCACCGGTTTGCTGTGCATTCTAGTTTTCACATGGAGCTCTGGTTGGGAAAACATTAAGCAGTGTTTGCTCTGGCTGGGAAGGTGCAGTTTCACCACAGACCTTTTATCTTTCTCAACCTTGCCTCCCCCTGGCTTAGCTAACAGCCCCGTGTGTGTCCCATTTTTCTGCTTGCACCATGAAGCAACTGAGAGGGGAAAAAAATCAGGGCCTTGTTCTACAGTTTACCTGACACAGTCAATCTGGAGCTTTAGAATCTCCTCACAACACAACTGTAAGAAGTTTTATTACTGCCATTTCTTTCTTCCTGTAAAGTGGAGTAAACTCAAAATGACCAGAAACCTTTCCTCTCAGCTGTGGGGTCACAGCGTGGTGACTTGGAGAGTTTTATTTTGGCACAGCCCTGACCCACTTTATGGGCTGTGAGGATACCAGCATTCAGTTGCTTCAGCACCTGCTTTCTGTGTTCTGTTAAAAATCAAAAATAAGACCAAAACAGAGTAAGCACACCTGAGCTTGAGCTTGGCACTTCCTTAGCAGCAGCATGGAAGGTGGGAGGACAGATGGAAAGCACAGGGAGCAGAGGGATGGAGAAGCAGGTACAGCTTCAGCTACGGAAGCTGCAACAACTCTCAGCTGGAAGATGAGAATTTCCTCCTCCAGAAACACTAAATTGTCTGTCACACTAAAGAATGGCCCTGCAGCCAACCCCAGCAGGACACCTCTGGATAAGCTTTCACACAAACTCGTGGCAAACTCAGAACTGGAGCAGGAAACCAGTTGCAGCAGGTGATACTGGGGGCAAATAAATGATTTCTAAAGATGTCTAAATGTGGTGTTTGCACTGCTGCTGCTGCTCTGAAGAGAAATTCACAAGCAAAGCAGCAGAGCCCCAGGGCAGAGGGTGGGCTGACACTGGAAATCCTGGGCTCACTAGGTCAAAAAGGGCTTCCTGGCAATTTGGGAGCCTTGGGCTCATCTCAGAGCAGCTGCCTGTGCCAGTGCTGCCCCTCCACAGCTCTCCCCTGGGACCAGGCTCTGCTTTCTCATCCACTGACAGCAGACACTTCCTGGAGGGCAGGTTTTTTAATTTGCTGGCAAGCAGCAACAAAATTGATTAAAATTGCAAAACACCTTTTCAAATGACTCATTTGCCTATCACAGTATTCCATGTAAATAAGTGCCTGCTATTGTAATTCCCAGTGCTCTGCTCCAATGCTGCTCAAAGAGGAGCAGGCAGGGAAAAGGGGCCAGGAGCAAAGCAGAATCTGAAACTCTTCTTCTCCCCCCATCTTCCAATATTCACAAAGCTTTCTGTGACAGTTCCCAGGTCACAATTTTCTAATCAAATGAGCTAACAGCCTTTACTTATTGAAGCCCAAGGTTTGATAGACAATATTTAAAATTTTAGAACCACAGAATGGCTTGGGAGGACAGGGAACATCCCCCTGGCATGGGCAAGGACACCTTCCAGCAGACCAGGTTGTTCCAAGCCCCATCCAACCTGGCCTTGAGCATTTCCAGAGATGGGGCAGCCACAGTTTCCCTGGGAAACCTGTGCCAGGGCCTCACTTCACTTCAGCCATTGAGTGGAGCACTTAAGTTCCCCCCAAAAAAGTGACGAGTGAGGACAACTTGAGTGTTTCTTCTTGTCTTGGAAAAAGAAAAAAAAAACCCAGGGTCATAGGAAAACCTCTGGGCTCAGGGCCTCACTTCACTTCAGCCATTGAGTGGAGCACTTAAGTTCCCCCCCAAAAAAGTAACTAGTGAGGACAACTTGAGTGTTTCTCCTTGTCTTGGAAAAAGAAAAAAAAAAAAAAAACAGGGTCATGGGAAAACCTCTGGGCTTCCTCAAGAATCAAAACCATTTCTATTTATTTTCGGTGAACCACTCTGGTACTTGGAAATAATTTTATTCAATGCCTTTTATGCAAAGCAGTTTATAGCAGCCAAAGGTAAGAGCTACAACTGTGTAACTCCAACAGAGTTTTCCCTTCATTGAGTCTTTGGAAGTCAATTAAAGATTTTAGAAATTGCTTCCACATTACATAAAAAAATCCATACCTAGCTCTGCTGCTTGAAAACAGCATCTGGTAAATGCCAGAAGAGGTACCTCTGCACTTTTTTAAAGGGCCTTTAATGGCACACCCCATTTCTTAACCTGCTCTATTGTCATGTTCCATTTGCTCATAAAATGCTGCAGCAGTGAAATCCACTCCATAGCCAGTTAAAATGGAGCTCCTGAATTAATGGATGAGAATATAGGCAGCAATTTTCTGCAAAACCAAAGGGCTGGACCCATGTGATACCATCACTGGAAGATGAGAATTCCCTTCTCCAGAGATACTAAATTGGGTGCCTTTCTAAAGAGCATCCCCTGCAGCTGCCTTGTGTGACCTGTCCTAGGAGAAAGACATCCCAGTCCTCAAAAAATAGGCCCATTTATTTATGTTCCTAATCAATTTCTTAACTTTTTCCAAGGGATCAATCCATACAGATACAGAGTAACACCTGAGAGTAGATTTCAAGTCACCAAAATTCTTGGCTCTGGACTCCAACCAGATGCCATCACAAAATATCATTTTGGGAAAAAAGCACCATTTCCCTTCCCAGTAGCACAGAATTACCCTCGTACCTTGTGCTCTCCCCACCTGAGCATGACCAGGCTGATAAAACACATTCCTCTGTGTTTAGCCACAAGACTCCAGCACTCAGGGATTTACCACTAATATTTTCATGCCTGGGTTTTTAATTAAAGGGAACCTAACTCTGGCTGGTGGCTCCTGGGGCAGGAGGGGTGCAGGCAGCACCCAACCAGCACGTTCCAAGTGGCATGTGTTGGTCAAACATGGTCAATCCCCATCCCCTGACTTCTCCTTGGCTATTTGGGAGGTGGAACCTTTAATTCTTGGTCAAACATGGTCAATCCCCATCCCCTGACTTCTCCTTGGCTATTTGGCAGGGGGGAAACATTTAATTTCCATGCAGCCTCTTTGCTGCTGTGTGAGATGTTCTGCTGCAGGCAGAGGCACCAGCCCCTCGCCCCCTGCACCTGGGGATGGGGTGACACTGCACAGAGCCAAGTGACACCAGTGCTGGCACCAAAACCACCTGGGGCACTGGCAGAGCCTCCTGGCTTTGTTTTCCACTGAGTAATATGTTTTACAGGAGGGTCAAGGAGAGGTTGAAGTAGAAAGTTATGAAATATC